GATATCAAAAAAGTACTCCAGAGTGTTGTTCAGCATGGGGGTGAGTAGAAAATGAAGGCTAATCATGTTTTGGGTGTACTATTCCTTTAAGTAATATATCATTCAAGGGCTCATCTAATTGGTTAAATGCCAAAATAAGATGTGCAGCCATGTCGCATTATCTTTGCCGAATGGCTGGATATAGATCTTGTGCTTCTAGAACTCACTGAGGGATGGGGGGAGTCCATTTGTAAGGTAGTGATCAAAAACTGTAACTTGCCCTATAAAGGGTTAAAGGTCCAGCAGGTGTCAGTATTCTGTGAGACATTATCAACGCAGCATCAGTGCAGTTTGGTAAAGATGCGTGTTCACTAGTAAGAAGTGTTAAAGCTGTTTCTGTGTTTGTCTTCGTAATGAAGGTGATCAGCTCATGCACAGAGGTGTGGCAGAGCGTGTGTCGGGAACTGGGCTGGCGGATCGATGAATCCATTCAGGACGCAGCCCACTGGAAAGGGGTCTATCTAAAGGCTAAACTGCGTATGACGCAGCTGAAGGGACAGGAGGCTTTTGAGACGTCGTCGCTGATTGGCCACAGTGCCAGAGTGTACGCCCTGTACTATAAGGATGGCCTGCTCTGCACAGGTAAGCCGTGCCTTTGATTCACCTACTCTATGGTTGCAGCAGCTTGTTTGCATGTGATGAATGTCTTCTTTGTTTCCCAGGGTCTGACGACCTTTCTGCCAAATTATGGGATGTGCGTACTGGACAGTGCATTTATGGAATTCAGACGCACACATGCGCCACGGTAAAATTTGATGAACAGAAGCTGGTGACGGGTTCTTTTGATAACACTATTGCATGCTGGGAATGGAGCTCAGGCGCTAAAATCCAGCAGTTCCGGGGCCACACTGGAGCAGGTCAGTATGCAGACTGAGCTAACGTCTGTTTGAAGTTCCTGTTTTTCTTCTTTTGATCTTATTAATGGCAAAATGATTCCCTTCCAAAAACACTCCCAGTAGAATTAACAATTATTAAGGCTGATTCTTTATATGTTTGATTAATTCAAGGCAAGGTTATTTTAACCCTTTATAGGGAACTTACTGAAAACCTTTTTTTTTTTTTTTCCTAAACAGTGTCCTGTCTGTCGATGTGGCAATAAAAATAATTGTGTTGATGCCAAAAAAGATCCCAACAGATTTTACTTTCACAAGTGGAGCAGTACGGCTATCGCCATAGTGTTCCGCTTCATTTATGCATATAAATAACTTTATTATAATTCATGCAGGGAGGATTACAGATTTTATGGACACTGTAATGTAAGTAGAACAGTAAAGGACAAACATGAAAAGGGAGAAAAGATGAAAGAAAGAGAAGATAAAAGGAAGACATTGTTAAAAAATATTAAATCCAAATTTCAAGCCAATAGTTTTATTGGAATCCAGGAAAAAACCTTATTAACCCTTTGTAACATTCAAAAAATATGGATATTTTGATGGCAAATATTAATGTCAGTGTGATATCAAGAAACTCCAACTATGCTATTAAAGTAGAAAATAAATGTTTCTACAATTCTTAATGATAATTTCCTTATACTTAATTTACTTAATTTTATAACAAATGGTATCAGTGTCAGATTTTCTTGGTTTGTGGTGAAAAACAGGTTGGGGCAGCACCGAGTCCAACCACAATGAAATCAATTGTCTGGATTAAACAAATTATTTGGATGTTTTTAATTTTTTTAAAATACCAACAGGTATTGATGGGTCAATGAGGCATCTTTAAGCCAAACTGTATTCATGCTGCCTTGATATACTGAATACTGACACCTACTGGACCTTTATAGACACTACAGGCAGCTCATTTGACAGACTAAACTGAATTGATTTGATGACCTAGCACAATGATATAGTTTATGTTATTGTAAGTTATATTATTTCATATCTATGTTTAAATTGAAAATATCTTTGATCATTTTAGATGCAGCCAATAAATAATTTAAACATATAACGTTATAATTTAGGGTCACATGTGAATGCGGATGCTTGTAGTGTTCAGATAGTTGAGTGATAACTGAGAGGAACAGGATGACACAATAAGAAAATTAAAATAAAAACGCCACGGCTGAAAGGTTCCTATTCCTTTTAGGATGCTGATAATTCTTGATAATTTTAATGATAAACCACAAAAGATGAGAATTTTTTTTTAAGCACAGTTAAGTTTGTCAATCATTTAGAAACAACACCTGTATCGGTCACATGACTTTCTTGAAGGAGACACATGTGCTGATACAGTGTTTTCCCACAATAAAAATCAGCTTAAATATTTATTTTTTTTAAATGTAAGGAGTAAAAAGTAGAGATGATTGCAAAAAAAATGTAAGGAGTAGAAGTAAAAAGTCTAAAAAGTAATTACACCAGTAAAGTATAGATAGCCAAGATTTTTTTTTAAGTAAAGTAAAGTATTTCTGCTTTGACACATTTGATTTAATGTAATGAGATTGTAAAGCAGCCAACGCATCCTTCCCTAGTGATGTACCACGGTCAATGGTTCTGTAGCGTTTAACATTCGCTGTCATTTTTATAGCATTTTTCTTTTTGCATCCAGTGTTGCTAAATATTTTCAGTTCAGTTCTATTTATTCGTAGTGCCATATCCCAAAATAATCTTCTCTAGGCAGAATACTTTTATATTTCCAGAGTTCATCTGTACATGTACACTCACAGGCCACTTTATTAGGTACACCTGTCCAACTGCTCGTTAACACTTAATTTCTAAGCAGCCAATCACATGGCGGCAACTCAGTGCA